ACTCTGTATGGGAGTAGATAGTCTCATCTTTCTCCCTCCGAGTGGCTGGCGGTTTCGAACGGCTGACCTTGTGGTTAGTAGTCCAGTGCGCAACCCACTACGCCACTCGGTAAATAGGAAGAGGCTGGGGTTGGCGAAGGGGTAGGGGCCCAGGGTGACTACTGTGGAATCCCAGCTTTTTCAACACATTGATGAAGTTTTCCTTTTTGCTTAAGCTATCATTATTAGTGCCTGGCAGCCGCCATCCAGAGATCAAAGATATATACAGAGATGTAGATCTGCTTCCCAAGAACCTCTTTAAAGTGCTGAAAAGCAAAGAGATTACTTTGAGAATTAAGGTGCACCCGACCAAAAAAGCCACGGTATTCAATGGCCTCGTGTGCATGTGAAAGTTGGACACTGGATAAGGAAGACGGGAGAAGCAGTGCATTTGAAAGACGGCGCTGGGGAAGGATACTGAAAGTACCACAGACGGCCAAAAGAACAATCGAATCTGTCTTGGGAAGAAGTAAGACCAGAATGCTCCTGAGAGGCAGGGGTGGCGAGACTGCATCTCATGTGCTTTTGACATGTCGTCAGGAGAGACCAGTCCCTGGAGAAGGGCATCCTGCTTGGTCAAGTGGAGGGGCAGCGACAAAGAGGAAGACCCTTGACAAGATGGATGGACACAGTGGTTGCCACAGCGGGTCGGGCATGGGAACCCCTGTGAGGCTGGTGCAGGATCAGGCGGTGGGTGTTTCAGCCCGTGGTGCACACGGTCGCCAGGGGTCGGACCTGACCCCCTGGCACCGGACAAGCACAACGTCATCTGTTGTGCACTTGTGATGTGCCACGCTCTGTGCTGAGGGGTTTGCACGTCTATGTCCGTAGGTATCAGAGTATGAAGTGTTGATGGGACAGCTCAGGAATAGGAGGGGCTTCAGAGCTATCTGGAACTGAGCAGAGCGATTGCCTATCACAGCTACCGCCTCAGAATAAATATCCTGGGAGAAGTACCCAGCACACAGCAGGTGCTCAAGGAATGTTTGGGGTGACCTTCATGGAGGGGAGGAGCTAGGCACAGGCCAGGGGCTTGATCAAGGTCTATGGATGAGCTGATGCAGGTGCGGTGTCCGGGACACGATGCTTAAGGAACATTTCAGAGATGTGGGTAGTGGGAAGGTCTCAAGCACCTATCAGGCTTCTGCAATGAGCCTGGGTGAGCTACGTGGCATGTAGTAGGTGCTCAGGAAGGGGGGCTCTCCATACCCTTCCCCGGGCCAGGTGGCCCCCTGCCCATGCTTCCCCCGCCCCCTCTTGGTCTCACCTTTGTTGTAGAGGGAGCCGTCAAAGTAGTAGCTGCC